TACAGCAAGGAGGAGGCGCTGTGTCCCAGCAGCCACACCCTCCCCAGGCGGCACGCAGTGCCTGCTTCCCGTGGGTTGAAATTAAAATGCATTCATCACATAATCCTTCCTGCTTTTTAACATTCCATCGAGAAGGCAACAGTGCACAAAACAAAGCTGGGGACAAACATTTAGGCTCTGGCCCTGGCTTTACATTTCAGTCACTTTTTTTATAAAAAAGTATTATTTTATTTAACTTTATTTATTTATTTTTAATTTGACCAGAGAGAGAGAGAGAGAGAGGCGGGGGGAGGGGAGAGAGAAAACAAGCCATCAGGTCCAAGACTCGAACCGCGATCAGCCTATGTGAAGTCCAGCACCCTTAACCACCGGGCCACCTGCTGGCCCACATTCTGAGCAACTCTTTCTCATCTGGATTTTGTTCCTTAGTTTCTTTATCTGTAAAGAAGAAGGAAAGGAGACCACAGAAACAGAAGCTGAAGTGACATGCTTTGAAGATGAAAGGAAGGGCCTTGTGCCCAGGAACACAGGCGGCCTCCAGAAGCAGACCAGGCAAGGAGACCATCGGACCCCGGACCCCCACAGCAGGAACACACCCTGCGCCCCTGTGCCCCGTGCTGGACTCTGACCTTCAGAACTGTAGGACAGTCCGTTTCTGTTCACGTAAGCCACTAAGTGTGCATAATGTGTTTTTTAACTTTTTTTTTTTTTTGCCATAGGGTCCATGTGTTCACTGGGGAGACACAGAGAGGGAAAGTGACAAATCACCCTCCGGGGGACGGCCATGTCACAGTGCCTTCTCCTCAGTCTCTTGGGATCTGGGGCACATGTGCACACGTGCCTGGTGTGATTTTCAAGCTGCCGGGTCTGGGACTCGAACTGCAGAGTCGGCCGTGTGGGAGCCACCACACCCGCTGTTGGCCTTCTGTGGCGATTTTTTATAGCAGGAATAGGAAACTACTCTATCTGTCTGTAATCAAATCCCCCAGAACCCCACATTCTCCAAAGGACTCTGCGACATCTGAATGTCCACTTGTACCTTGAGTAACTGAGCAGGAGAAGCAGGCATTAGAAAGGAGTCACTGAGCGCATCGGACTGTTGGTAGAGTATGTCCTAAAGCCACTCAAGGATTCAAACAGGTGTCTAAAAGATGCTTTGCCTTTGCAGAGAAGTTCAAAATCAGGTATACTTCATTTTACTCGACTCAAGCATAGCACGGGTGTTAGATGGCTCGAGACAATTAATACAACGTGAGATAAGATTTCACGAAGGAGTGGGCACGATGGCAGCTCTATCTTTCGGTTACTACTCTATTTTGCTAAATACTCTTTAACCGACGGTAACAGTATGGATAGATGATTTTTTTTTTTTAACGAGGAACAATACATACTAGAACTAAATGCAGCAGATTGTACACAGACAGGACCTGTGTCCTCGGAGTGGCAATACAGATGCCTTCACACACTTCTCAGAGCGGCAACTACCTGCTCCAGCTCCTGCTCCGCGTACTGCCGTCTGCTCAGCTCACACTCGGCCCCCTCCCGCAGCTCCCGCAGGCGACAAGCTTCTTCCTTCGCGTAATTGATTTCGTCCATCATTTTGCGTTCGAGATTTTGCTTTTCTACCGCAACATTTCTGTTTTCTTCCTGTGCCTTTTCAAGCCTACGGAACGATAAAATGACAACTCCTCACAGAAAGTTTCCAAAATTTCATTCGTTCTGAAAGAATACTGTGTCAAACAATTAGCTACATTTCTAACCAGAATTCACAGCACTATCAACGCTATGTTTAGATAATAAAAATATCAGGTAACCAACGCTGCAGCGACTTTGGTTATTCTAAACTCAAAAGGAAGAGATAATATGGAAATACTTGTCCACAAGGACACTTTCGAGCAAACTCCTAATTATTTAAAGCAAGTTAAAAATAAAATTTAATTCCACCCATGTTGGATTGACTTCCACTGGTCTTCCATGCATTTGTTCCTGAGTACCACTGGGAATCGATCCGTAACCCTACGATACCATGACGCTGAACTGAAAAGATGAAATAAGGCGGATCATGGTGTGGGGGGTCTTCTTCTCTCTTGGAAGAAGTAAATAAAAGTGAGCTTGGAAATTAAAAAAAGTTAGTATGGAATGAAATGTGCATACATCCGTAAGGTGTACAGCAACGTAATCAAACACGCGCGTTCCCGCACACGCTGGCGTGAATTTCCTTGCACCAGTGGAAAGTGAATGACTGTCTGACTCACCTCTCTTGTAAGTCCATCAGACTCTGCTCTGCAGTTTGTAGGCTCTCTAAGTCTTTCATCATCTTAGCGACGTGTTCTTTTGATGTCTTATTCTGCGTATAAGCAAACCAGCACCCTCCGACGCCAATGACGATAGAAACCGTAAGGATGAAATCCTTCATCCAGTTATGAGGTGGGCCTGTGAGAAGAATTAGAGAGAGTTAAATTAATCTTTGCGTATAACGGAAACTCAAGACACAGAGGCATTTTCATTTTTTTAGACATTTTTGTTACAGGGCACGTGCACATATTGGAAAGGCAGAGAGAGACAGAAAGCGAGAAATTACCATCCCCCCCCCCTCCGGGAGATGGTCATGCCACAATCCCTTCTCCTCTAGTCTCCTTTCAGGATTTTGTGCACACATGCACATGCACCTGGTATGAGTTTTAAGCCGCCAACCAGGACTCGAACCATAGTCAAGTACATGGGAGTCAAGTGACATAACCATTATTCCATCTGCTGATCCCCAGAGGCTTTTTTTTTTTTTTG